GGTGGTGGTCTGGGCGGTGGCCGTGGCGTTGGTCCTTCATATGGTGGCCCATCCAGGCCACCGGCACCCGAGCTGCACCAAGCAACCTTAGTTCCATCATATCAAACTGGGGTGACTCCTCAACCTGCACCATCATCTGAGGCCAGTTCTTCTCTGCCACCAGAACCCATTGATTTGGAACAATCAATGGCGCAGATGGTGGTTCATGAAGCTACTCCTGCTCCTCCTCCTGCAAGTAAATCGTCGATGAGGTTTCCTCTCCGACCTGGGAAGGGTAGCTATGGCATCAAATGTATCGTCAAGGCTAATCATTTCTTTGCCGAGTTACCAAACAAAGATCTTCATCAATATGATGTATGTTCCATGTTTAACATTGATTGGTCAAAATTATTTATTTGTTTCTTTAGTATATTAACATATTGTGTTGCTGCATCTGGTTGCTTAGGTAACAATCACTCCTGAAGTGACTTCAAGAGGTGTAAACCGTGCTGTTATGGAGCAGTTGGTGAAGCTGTACCGGGAATCTCACTTGGGCAAGAGACTGCCTGCTTATGATGGACGCAAGAGCCTGTATACTGCTGGTCCTCTCCCTTTCCTTTCAAAGGAATTTAGAATTACTCTCGTTGATGATGATGAAGGAGCTGGAGGACAAAGGTTTGCTTCTGTGTTTATCACTGATTGGTTCCTTAGCTTTTGCTTTCATCACTGTTTTATGTAAATAATCTTGTATTTGCATTTCAATGCAGGAGGGACAGGGAGTTCAAAGTTGTGATCAAATTGGCTGCACGAGCAGATCTTCACCATTTAGGATTGTTTTTACAGGGAAGACAAACTGATGCTCCTCAAGAGGCGTTGCAGGTCCTTGACATTGTTCTGCGTGAACTCCCTACTACAAGGTGCCTGCTATAATTACTTCGTCCAATTTTGTGTATTCTGTTGTGACCTTTTTGCTAACTGAATAATTTGATGCTGTAGATATTGTCCTGTTGGGAGATCATTTTATTCACCTGATTTGGGTAGGAGACAACCTTTAGGTGATGGATTGGAAAGCTGGCGTGGATTCTATCAGAGTATTCGTCCTACACAGATGGGACTGTCACTGAATATTGGTATGTTATAGTTTGTATAACTCTTACCTTTTCTCTACAATCTTTATTTTGTTTTCTTAACCAGGTTTTGAAATCAATTTTTAATCTAAATGCTCACCAATGGGAATGCAGATATGTCCTCCACTGCATTTATTGAGCCACTGCCAGTAATTGATTTCGTGACTCAACTGCTGAATCGGGATGTATCAACTCGGCCACTGTCTGATGCTGATCGAGTGAAGGTAAGATTTTGTTAGTGTCATTGTGATTTATCGTCACTATACTATAGCCTAGCTTTTTGTTTAACTACTTTATATTGTTTGCAAAGTACACTTGCTTTTGGCAGCATCAATGTTCTTTAAACTTTATTGAACTCTTAGAGATATCTTTCTTTTCAGCATGGCTTTTTAAACAGGCTATAAGATTCTCTCTAAACTTTAAAAAATTGACTTTCTCTCTTTCTGACTAACAGATTAAGAAAGCTCTCCGAGGTATCAAAGTTGAAGTAACACATCGTGGAAACATGAGAAGAAAATATCGAATCTCTGGTCTGACATCACAGGCAACTCGAGAGTTGACGTAAGTATTTGATGGACTTTTTTTTGTTTTGAATGCAATATTAGAAATTCTTCTGCTGACCTTCTTTTGGCTTCTCAATTATAGATTCCCTGTTGATGAAAGGGGTACAATGAAATCTGTTGTGGAATACTTCTATGAGACATATGGGTTTGTCATTCAACATACTCAATGGCCTTGTCTGCAAGTGGGCAACACACAAAGGCCAAACTATTTGCCTATGGAAGTAAGAATTCTCATGTCAACAGTGTTTGGTTATTTTGTTTTTGTTGTGTGGATGTGCCTGCTTTAGGCTAATAGCTTATCTGGCAATGTAGGTTTGCAAGATAGTGGAAGGTCAAAGGTACTCAAAGAGGTTGAATGAGCGACAGATTACTGCTCTGCTGAAAGTTACATGCCAGCGCCCTGTTGAGAGGGAGCGTGATATCATGCAGGTAAGCATAGTGTTGTGTAGTCATTATATTCATTTGTGACATAAGTAGTTCATATTTTGGCCTTGTGACTTTGTGTGGCGTTATATTGTTTGGATTCTTAATGTGTTGTGTCGATTATTGTTTGGATGGAAAAGTTTATGATTCCATCTTGTTTGCATTTTTTAGACTGTGCACCACAATGCATATCATGATGATCCTTATGCTAAGGAGTTTGGAATCAAAATTAGTGAGAAGCTTGCTCAAGTTGAAGCACGCATCCTTCCTGCTCCTTGGGTATTTTTTTTCTTCTGATAGCTTATTGACTTTTAAACTTTTTAATTGCTTTTATATGACAATTGACATTATGTTTCCTTCAGCTCAAATATCATGATACAGGTAGAGAAAAGGATTGTCTTCCACAAGTTGGTCAATGGAATATGATGAACAAGGTATTTTTTCTAGTTTGGTTCATTTTGGTAGCCACTAGCCATACAAAAACAAGTAGCACTATTCATATTACACCTCTTAATTTCTGTTTCATCTTATGATTTTGGCTTAGATTCTATAGTTCATTTCTTTATGTTTGGGGTTGTGTGAATAGTACGATTTTACATGTATATATCATTGTAGGTTTTTTTTCCCAATTGTAAGGTTTGTGAAGATAAGATAGAAACTGCTGGGTGTCTCTGTTCTTTTATCCTGATCAGTTTAAAGATGTGGTGTGGGAGTGGGAATGCTGATTCTTTTCTTTCCTGGTCTCTATTATAAGAATTAAGTTGCAGTTGGTTAATTAGTTGTCTAGTTTTGTTGGAAGTTTTCAAATTCGAGTAAAGTTAGAATTAAAGGCATTATGAGTAGCACACATATTGAGATGCTTGTCATTTGAATGTCTTTAAGAGGGATATAGAATGTTGAATCATTTTGCAATCAGATTAATGCCTTTTGAATTTGTTGTGCATCTGTGAATAATTTGCTGTTATATATTTTACTGCTTGAATTTGAAATATTCTTTTTCTATGTATAATTCTTTCAGAAAATGGTGAATGGGGGGACAGTTAACAACTGGTTCTGCGTAAACTTTTCAAGGAATGTTCAAGATACTGTTGCCCGTGGCTTTTGCTATGAACTTGCCCAGATGTGTTATATATCGGGCATGGTATGTTATATTCCCTTTACACAAATTTGTTCTTGCAGAAAGTTCCCTTGATGATTTATTTATTTGATCTTTTTTGTTTATGAGATTAGGCATTTAATCCTGAGCCAGTGGTTCCCCCAGTCAGTGCTCGCCCTGATCAAGTGGAAAAGGTATTAAAAACCCGCTATCATGATGCCAAAAACAAACTGCAGGGAAGGGAGCTTGATTTGCTCATTGTTATTTTGCCTGATAACAATGGATCTCTTTATGGTAATGTTGCATTGACTGATCCTTGTTACATGTTTTTCTTTCACACTGATCAGACATGTGAACATATCTTAACATGTGTTGATTTGTTGTGTAGGTGACCTTAAACGTATATGTGAGACAGATCTTGGGCTTGTATCACAATGTTGCTTAACTAAGCATGTATTCAAAATGAGCAAGCAGTACCTTGCAAATGTTGCCTTGAAAATTAATGTCAAGGTTGGGGGAAGGAACACTGTACTTGTTGATGCCCTCTCACGCCGCATTCCTTTGGTGAGTGACAGGCCCACAATTATCTTTGGTGCTGATGTTACTCATCCACATCCTGGGGAAGATTCAAGCCCATCCATAGCAGCTGTATGTTATTATTTTTAATTATTTTATTGGTTCAAGCAAACATGTGATAGAAGATTTTTTATATCCTCAACTTTACGTAATTCATGTGTTAAAACTGTAGGTTGTGGCATCCCAAGATTATCCTGAAATTACCAAATATGCTGGTTTAGTTTGTGCCCAAGCACATAGGCAGGAACTCATTCAAGATCTTTTCAAACAATGGCAAGATCCAGTCAGAGGAACTGTAACTGGCGGAATGATCAAGTACTCTCCTTCCCTTCTCTCATATGTGAGCTGGTTAATGCACATTGGGGGGTTGCTAGCTTTTTTGTAGTTTACAATTTTTATTCTCGTTTTTCTAGACTATTTTCTTATTTTATTTTATTTTTTGTCAGGGAACTGCTTATATCTTTTAGGAGGGCTACAGGACAGAAGCCACAGCGCATCATATTTTACAGGTAGAGATATGCTCTTTAACGTTAGTGATCTTATGTCCATTTGACTTGATGATGATTCTTAAATATCATTTGCAGGGATGGTGTGAGTGAGGGGCAGTTTTATCAAGTTCTATTGTTTGAACTTGATGCTATTAGAAAGGTGGAGTGCTATTCTATTATAAGTTTTTCATCATTTGCACAAATTTTATATTGTTGTTAATGCTAAACTTGTTCATTCTTCCTTTGTTCCTCCACCAGGCTTGTGCATCCCTTGAACCCAACTATCAGCCTCCTGTGACCTTTGTTGTGGTTCAAAAGCGTCATCACACAAGGCTCTTTGCCAGCAACCATCATGACAAGAGTTCGGTTGACAGGAGTGGAAACATATTGCCAGGTATTTATTCTTCTTTGCTATTCATTGCATACTTTTATAAGAAAAATGTTAGCGATACTCACTCTACACTTTATTGTTGAAACTCTAATAACAACTTGGTTCAGTAATTTGATGTTGAATAACACTGTTCTTGAAAATATTGCAGGCACAGTTGTAGACTCCAAAATCTGCCATCCTACCGAGTTTGACTTTTATCTTTGCAGCCATGCTGGAATACAGGTGAACTTTTACTCTTTTGCTCACAGCATTAAATAATTTGGTGTTGAATTATGTTGTCATGTTATGTGTTATTTTGATGTTACTTGCAGGGAACAAGTAGGCCAGCTCACTATCATGTTTTGTGGGATGAAAACAATTTCACTGCTGATGCTTTACAAACTCTCACAAACAACCTGTGCTACACGTAAGTAGTCTGCATTGCCTTTCAACTTGCACTATTACATTTTATAATCAAGATATTAAACTTGATGTTCTTTTTTTGGTAGATATGCTCGATGCACGAGATCTGTTTCAATTGGTGAGTTTCATCTCATAATTTGTGGTGAATTGGTGGATTGTTCATGATTCGTTTGTGTTTTTCACTAATCGTGGTGTTTGTTTAATAATTGCAGTTCCTCCTGCATATTATGCACATTTGGCTGCTTTTCGGGCAAGGTTTTATATGGAGCCGGAAACTTCGGACAGCGGCTCTATGACAAGTGGGGCTGTTGCTGGCCGAGGAATGGGTGGTGGTGGTGGACTTGGCCGGAGCACCCGAGCACCTGGTGCTAGTGCCGCTGTGCGTCCGTTGCCTGCTCTTAAGGAGAATGTCAAAAGAGTTATGTTCTACTGTTAAGGAATGAATGTCATCTCCAGGGTGTGCTAGTGCTGTCTTCTATTTCTCGTTTTTCTCAAAACCTTTGTCATTAGGAACCGAGTTTGATGCAAAACTACTATGAGGTTGGTTGTGCTGTTTTGCATGTTTCTTGCTTTTCATTAGAAACCGAATTTGATGCAAACTATGCTAATGAATGTTGAAAGCTACTTGTTGTCATTGTTGGTTATATAATGCATTTCATGGATGGATTGGATAAAGCGTTATTTACGTATGCATTAGTTGGATAAAGATTGATTTGAGTTTTCGATGAGAGATATTCTTCCTGCGGGGTCTACAATAAGTTGTTCTAGATATAAAATTAAATTTAAAATGGGTTTAGTTGTTTCTAATACTTTTATTGTTATTGCACAAATGATACTCTGATTCGAGCATTGCTAAGCGAATATCGACATTTACGATGAAATGAAGCATTCGAACAAGTGATAAATTTATTAAATCTGTTGAGAAAAACCCTTTATGGACGGTATAGTAATTAGTAATGCTATCCTCGTCAGATGATGTTTGCCTGTCTGGGTAGCGATGATGATGTACCAACAAATAACAACTCAGAATGCATAAAATAAATTATCCTTATAGTGGTTTTAATATAATATAACAGCCAGAAAATCAATTACGTTATATAAGTATTTTGCCTAAAATACTTGTTCTTAATTCTTTGTATGTTTTGGTTTGAATCTCGGTTGATTAATAATGAACAAGTAACATTTTTATTTCTTAGTTTTATTTTATCTTTTAATTTCTATAGTTTAAAATAGACATTTAGTTTTTAAACTTATCTTTTCTAATTATTTTTTGTTAGTTTAATATAGTTCTTTAGTTTATGTGCTTGTAACTTTTTAATTCTTATAATCTCTATTATTATTTTTTTATAACATTATCTGTTTTGTATTAATTTGATAAATGTTTTCAATGAGGATAAAAAAAAGTATTTTAACAATGAGTTTAATGTGTAAAGATATGAAAGAGACGAGTCTAGAAATTTAATTTAGAGTAACTTCAAGCAAAATAAGTTTAACTTCAGATACTTAATGTTGAGTTAATATATAGAAAAGAAAGTGTTACAAAATAATTAATGACAAAAATTAAAAAATTAAAAAATTATAAATATAATAATTAAAAATATCTATATTAAACTATAGACACTAAAACTAATTGAAAAAGATAAATATAAAAATTAAAAATAACTATTTTATACTATCTAAAAGATAAAGTAGAATTATGAGAATTAAAAAAATATTTTAATCATTTTTTTAAAAGCTAAACTAAAGGATAATACTATTTTTACTCCCTCATTTTTAGGGTTGTCAATTGGGTCATCTCAACCAAATTCAACCTGCTGAAATATAGATTGGATTTTGAGTGGCATTGGACCCATTTTTCATTGGGTTGAAAATTAAGTTCAACTCAATCCATTATACCTTGCAGGCTGGGTTGATCGTTCCAACTTTAATTTTATATAAAAATAGTTGTAATCTAATAACAAAAGTACTTTATAAAAATAAAAGCATTAGTAAAATTAAGGCAAATTATATTAAATTATTGAATTAATTTAATTTAATAAAAACCAATTGATATACTTGTTAATAATCACGTAAAGAGCACGGGAACAATTATGCTTACTTAAGTTACACTTTTAATCTTGTTATGGTAATCATGATACAAATATTGTTTAATTTATTCAAATAATAAAATAACTTATCTTGAAAAGTTTTAAAATATGTCAAATTACAGAAAACAAAGTTTATTTTATTTTAAAATTTTTCAGTATTTTTCATTTTTTTTATCCTTTTCACTCTATAATAAAGATTGAGTTAGTATATAATATAGTATGTGAAAGTAGCAACCTGTGTTGTGGTTATGAACTTAGAAAGTTACGCGAATTATTTTTTTAATAATTATAAATTAAAATAAACTATTTTTTTTTAATGGAAAACACAAGTTCTTAATGTTTTGCACGAAATCAGCTACGTACAAAATAACATTTTAGTTTCCATGAATAATTGTGTAAAAGTTTATTTAAATTAAATTCATCTAGCTAGTATTTTCTAACTCCTGTATATATATAAATGCAGGCATATGTAATTGATTTTCTACTATAATTTGCATTACAGGAAATCGGTGAATAACTTGTGCATAAGTGCATTTGAGATGAGAATAAAAAAAAGAACAACGATGTTACCTCAGAAAGGCTTCATGTTCCTTAGACATTTTTTTGCCTCCACTTCTAAATCAAATGACACAAAAGAGCAATCAATATTTTGCTTTTATTTCACATATTCTTTCCTTCCTTCCACTCTTTCTTTCAGACAAATCATAACCAACATTTATTCTTTTTGATTATTCAATCCCACACCAAGTCAAATCACTCTCTCCACACCTGCACAAAACAAAACTATCATATTTTTTTTTTAATTCAACACAAGTTATTTATTATTGTCTTATTGTCACTGTCCATCATATGGCTTCTAGTTCTACACCTCAAGCTCAGCCTCGAGTAGATCAGATTCAATGGCAGATATCATGCTAGATGCCTTGAAGCAAAGCCGTTTCCATATGGAAATGCTTTGACAGGTATTATATGTCTAATATGTCATACTCAAGGGTTTCACATTGTTTGTGTTCCACAATTGGCTCTTTCAGGATTTTCATGGTAGGAAAATATGCAACAGGTTTGTTGCAAGTGGGAAGAGGTTAATGAAACAGCCTCATGTGATCGAGGATGTGGATAAAGCAGTTAAAGACATGATTGAGTGGAAAAAGCTTTTAGATGGCATGTGGGTTACATCCTCAGTTGCACTTAGGTATAGTTATTCCATTTCATAGCTAACAATTTCTCTCTTTTGTGAGACTCAAAAACACGGGATTCAAGAGAATAATATAACTTGGGAACAAATTTTAATGGTGTTCAGGAGGCAGTTGTAGTTCCACCACATGTTTTACAGTGAGGCCTAATCCTGGCTTCTGGGAATATGTTAAAAGTGAAAGCATATGATTTGCAAGTAAAGGTATTGAGGCAGCAGAATACTTGAAGTACAAGGAAATGATATTTGATGAGAAATGGAAAGTGGTGATCTCTGAACCTCATTCACATCACCCTTTGGTTTTCCATGTTGTTTTGTTTGTGCCAATGTTTTTTCTTTTTTGGTTTCATGATGGAGTCCTGATGTGTAAACCTAAAACCTCATGCAAACTATCTAAACCTTTCACCCTAGGCTGACCCTAGTGGGTTTGTTTGTGCCAATGGTTAGTGCAAATGTTGAACAGACTTGAATTTGCAGGGCAAGTGATGGAAATGCTTTGGAGTTAGACTTTGGGGCTTTTGAGTTCTCCAACCCTCGGATGGTTGATTCTTCTATTGGGAATGGACTAAACTCTACTACTAAGATCTTGGCCCCAAGGTTGAGTGAGAGCTCCCAAAGCATAAATCCTTTGCTGGATTACTTAGTGAGCCTTAATTATCAAGGAGAGGTAAATAAAGCACGAGAGTATCAAATATTGAAATGTATACAAATGAAAAAGCAATAAAAAAATGACTTTGTAATGGTGTAAGAACAGTGTTCAACAATAGAGACTGCATATTTCTTTTATCAATCTACAGAATCTTATTATCAAAGTCACTTTGAACACCATGCCAAAGCTTCAGCAAGCACTGAAAGTGGCTCAAGCTATGTATCTGCAGTCTGCACTCAATAAAGATACACCATATCTGAAATTTGAAGACAGGTCAACATCTAACTCTTTACTTTATTCCTTCATTCTGGAAACAGTGAATCAATATGCATGAAAAGATTAAAAAAGAAAAGGGTTAAGAAAGTCCCATCTGATGTCCTTAGAGACCAATTATTTTCATTTGAATATTGAATTGTATTTGTACCCATAGGATGGTTTTTTTTTATAAACATAATCATGAATTAGCATAGTTTCCTACTGAGTGAAGCATTGTCGAGTGTCAATCATTGAGACGTCAGTCAACTCCCAATAATGGTGCAATGATAGGGACTTGGGTATTATGAGGTGCCTAAGTGACTAAGTCCCACATCAAGTTGTATGGGATGATCGGTGGAGTATTTAAGTACTTGGTTCTACCCCCTTAGCAACTAACTTTTTTAGGGAGTGTTCCTCAACTGCTTAGGTTCTTATTACATGCTGAAAGCTTAGGAAGCTTCAGCTTGAGAGGGAGTCTTAGAAATATCTAATGATATCATTTTTATCTTAGAATATTTAGAGTATCCTTGATGATCTTTTAGGATTTACTCTTCTTTTATTTCTATTTTTTATAATTTGTTTCCTTATTTAATTAGGACCTTTATTATTATACCCATATTGTATAATGTAAATAAGAATATTATCTCATATTTATTTGTATTTATTGCATTAAGTCTATATAAAACAGACTTTGTTGTGTTGTCAAAACGCGTGGTTTCAACCACTCCTACATTTTTTTTACTCTCTTTCAACAATTTAAACATGCATACATGTACATTCTTTTCCTATCAGCACTTTGAGCTAAAGCTTCTATTCTATCCATAACAAATGAAGGCAACCATTTCTCATGCTTTGGAGAAGACCGAATATGAGGACTCAGATGCAAAATGGACGGAGTTTGATGAAAAATGAAGGCAATCATTTCTCATGTCAGTTCACAGCTGACATAATCTCAATGAATGCAGCTGATTTCATCAAAACTAGCACATACCAAGAGATCAATGGAAGGTATGGCTCCTTTTCTTCTAAGTGATACATTCTTATGTATCCTGTGGTCAATATTAACATGAAGGTAAAATTTCACTATTTTGTATCATCAGCAAGTACAAGCCAGGTCAGTATGAAACATACATTAAATTTACCATGCCTGGACTTTGTCGTGTAGTCTCCGGCATCAGCGTGCTTGATCCAAAGTTCAACATTGCTGCACCTGGAGCTGATCAATCTGTCTACTTCCCCTAGACAGAGAAAGAGCGGTGATTGACCTCATTTCATCCGGCCATCCAAGAATTACTTTATAGTAAGGATGACAATGAAGAACACATGTGAATCTCATTCCACTTTGCTCTCATCATTTTATAGCAATGGACGTGTCATTGCAATGGCCTAATTCAAACTATAATTTGTTTTGAATCAAAGGATTTTTGCAAGATAAGTAGAAACCAATCATCTTCTCCATGGCTAAATTTGACAAAGTGAAGAACCTTATTGGCCTAGTTGAGTGGTATGCAAGAAACAATAGGCTGAGGAGCTTGGTGAAACTTGTGATTGTTGGAGGATTCTTCAATCCAGCCAAATCCAAAATACAGAGAAGAATCTGAAGAGATCAAGAAGATCTATTTCCTGATGAAGGAGTACAACCTCAAGGGAAATTCAGATGGATTGCAGCTCAAAGTAACCGCTACTACAACAGTGAGTTGTACCGGTACATTGCAGATATGAAGGGAGCTTTTGTGCAACCAGCATTTTATGAAGGCTTCGGTCTTACAGTCATTGAGGCAATGAGCTGAGGACTACTTTTGCAACAAATCAAGGAGGACCAGCAGAAATTATAATTGATGGGGCTCAGGCATTCATATTGATCCTTATAATAGGGATGGGTCAAGTGAAAAGAACATTGTCGACTTCTTTGAAAGGTGCAAGACTGATTCCGAACATTGGAACAGAATGTCAAAAGCTGGTTTTCAGTGCATTTGCAAATTTTAAGTAACCGTTGGTATTTTTTCCATAAGATGGTATACAACTATTGGAGGTTAAAAACTGAAGAAGTTGTATTTTAAGAATGCCAGAAATTGTACTTACAGTTTGCTAATTTTTTACCATTTACCGGCAGTTAGAACAGCCAAAAAGTGATTTATAGTACTAGTAAATCAATTGCCAGAAAACGAGAACTTTCAAAAAGTGAAAGAATGCAAGAAAACAACCCCCAAGCAATTAATTTCCAGTAAAAGTAGTTTTTCACTGTGAAAAATCATCTTCAATATCTTTTTGCACTGACCTGATTGAATATATCTAGTTTAGTGATTAATGATTTGGACATGGCATTCTGTGAGTATCTCGGGACAATTGTCACTTTCTGTTATTGAAAATGAAGAGATCTAGGTGATAAAATAAAGAAATGATCCCTTGACACAGTTTGTAGATCCTGAACCGATAAAAAAGAAAACATTCCAGCATAGATTTAATCCAACTCATTTTTAATCACGTGACACGGTTTGTAGCTATGACACATTTTTATTATAGTTTAGACAACAGCAGCACAAATATATCTAACCAAACCAGTTTCCGTCCACATTTTCCACTAATGAGTTTAGAAAACACACAATAGACATTATGGATAACTTGAACAAAAATATAACACGAGTAAAGAACACATACAACAAAGAAGTGCATGCTATTGATAACCACTTTAGGCAACTGGAGTTCAAAGCAGATGATCCTTTGATGTATCAACTGCAGCATGGGGCATAATCTTTTCTCATCTGCCGCTTCAACTATTCTTTCTCTTCCTTTAGCCTATTCTTCTCAGCCTGCAAGAAACAGAAGTTCAGAAATACATTATACACACACTCTGATGATCACCACTTATTTTGAGAAATGTAACGTATAGCAAAACAATAGCATGTCTCTCATTCAGTTTATACCATCACAATTTCTCAGGATATATCTTGGAGCTAGATGCTTATGATTCAGTCTTTGACCCGGAGTAATAGTTGCAAATGACTTGAGGGTAATAATGAAAGAGATAGGTAAAAAAGACAGAAGAAGACAAATTAATCGCAAATTTCTAGTTATTGTAGGCACATGTCTATGAATATTAATTCTATTAATATTGAACCGAGCTAAATAAGAAACCATTTTCATTCTACTAATTCTCTCTAAGTTATCTTTTCCACTTATCTACTCCCTTATCAATTCCATCCTAAAAATTCTCTGCTAAATCATCTTAATTTACGGTTCTTTTGTGGTGCTCCGCTTACGGGATGTCTTTGTTAGGCCTACATCGAGATTCACATGCTGTGATGTATGTTTATGTTCTTATCTCTTTTCCCTTTAGTTTTGATTTTAATTTCTTTATCATTTGAGTATTTCTTATCCTCTTCAATTTGTACCTTTCTCTTCTATCTTAATAAATTCTTTGTTTACCAAAAACAAAAGGACGTGACAAAATTTGGATCTTACTCGTACCAGATGTAGAGAAGCTTCAACAGTTCTAAACTCCATGCATCACTCTTTCTTAATTTGGATCTTACATGCATTTGTTATGACAACTTTTGCGACATTATTATTTTTTTCCCAAAACTGTATCAGTTTGTTAATTTAATTTATAAATCTTTGTCATATCATTGTAATCAAACACCCACAGACCCATCCACCCTCATCCGCTTGCAAAAGAAATGTCAAGTTTCATTCAGATTACAGACAAGGGGGGAAAAGGAATATATAAGCATATAACTTGCCTGCACATACATCTCAGACACATTTCAAAATACTTGACGAGACTCTTTATCTTGGAATCTTACAGCCTAAAAGTGAACAATTTATCACATCAGAAAATAATACAAATGATATCAATATAATTGATCTGATTCAGACCCACTTTTTCTAAAAGGTTCAGGTTTGATCCGAGTATGAAATCTTTTGGTAACAATGTTGTTAAATAACTGTTATAAGGCCTCCATAACACTACGACGTGGCCGGTTTTGACCCCTCCACCATAGGCAATTTACTAAGAGAGGATTACTACTGGAATGTCTCCTACAGCTTGTGACAATAATAATACTACATTTTTAGCTGAAAAACTGGTTTCAGATGACAATTCAATTTACCAATCTCAAGAAACAAAATCCTTGACAACAAGCATAGAGAATGATTCACCTGAATGCCAATGTGAATTCTGCACCTGAATAATTGTAAACAGAAAATGTTAAAAGATCAAACCTAGAGACAAAATCTATTGTCATAAAATATATAAATTACTATTATTTATTCTAATTAATGTTGATTTATATATATA